AAATCAGTATGGAGATACCTCAAAGAACTAGGACTGGAAGTCCCATTTGACCCAGCTCTTTCCCTGCTGGGTATCTTCCCAAAATAATTAAAAGACTCATACCACAATGGGTGATATATGTGCACCCATTTTCATAGCAGCACAATTTGTAATAGCTAAAACTTGGAAGCAGCCCAATTGCTCATCAAATGGAGACTGGATAAAGAAAATGTGGGGTTTTTTTAATAAAATGGAGTACTACTCACCCATAAAAAATAGGAAATTAGAGACATTTATAGCTAAATGGATGCACATTGAGGTGATACTCTTAAGTAAAATAAATAGGACACATATGTGTAAATACCGAAGAGTTTCTGTAGTGTGAGAAACTGAAAGTGTAAATAAGGACTAAAAGGCATAATAGATAATGTGAAATAGGAAGAAAAGGGGCAAAGGGGAAAGGGAACAGGGAAGGGTAGAGGAAAGGAAAGAAGGGAATGAATTTAATATGAGAAAATAAAAAATGGAAGCAAAGCCCTTTTATATAAGGAGGGGTGGAGGGGTTGAAGCAGGGTGGGGAATGGGGAAAAAATAACGAAGAGTGATTATGTAAAGGTGCAAATTTCCAATGATGAATGTCATTGTATTGTATACCTAAAATATACAAATAAAATTCATTTAAAAATATGCCATACCATACAGGCCCACAAATGTGAAGACAGCAGAGCAGGGTATATTGGAACATTTGAGGTTCTCCTTTCTCCACCTGTTTCCCCTCCTCCAGTGCAGGAGGGTGGCGCGTTTACTGAGGTGTCCCTAGAATCTTCACCTGCTGTGCTCCCCATTCTTGTCAAGCTGATTTGTGGAACAGCATTTTATGTTTATTCCTGTTCACCAAAGACCAATAATTGCTTGGGGACGTTTTTCATGTCTTACACCTCTACCTCTTTAGTTAATGGGAATTTAGATAAAGGAATTTTAGGGTTTAGAGTAGTCTAGAGTTTTATGTGATCACCACAGAATAGCTATGTCTAAGATATGTGATCCAATGGTCCCTACTGAGTCTGCTAGCTGCATCTTATGGGGATGGGATCATCGGGAAGACACGTGTAACTTGTCTGGTGACCTCATTCCATATGTTTAATCTATTCCCCAGGCATGGACTACTAATGTGAAATCAGCAGTGAGACCTTTGTACTTCAACAGCCTCTGCCCCAAAGAACCATGTCCTGTGTTCCAAGAATTTGAGAACAAGTGTTCTCATTCCCAGGGCTGTGGGCACACAGCCTTCTTCTGTGTGGCTCTTTCTTATATTTTGTATTAATTCAGTCCTGCACAGACTGAATTGTTTTGAAGTTGTTTCAGTCTCCCACTTCCTAAGACTTTTGTGCATACTGTTTTCCTGAATAATAGTATCCCCACTTTCAATAAATTCTGGTTCGGTTTGGTTCAAAAAAACAATCCTGGCTTTGCCATCTACTATCTTAATGATTTCAGAAGATTAACATTCCTTCAACTTTGAAACTAATTGTAAAGAGTAAATTGCCACCCACAGGAGATGGAGATCCTGATGAAAAGGCACTAACAGTCTTGCTTGTTTTTAATTTAATATGGAACATGTAACTATCTGCATCATAAATTCTACTACAGATCCCAATTCTAGATCCTCTTATATGTTCTCTTTCCCAATTCCACTTGCTCCAATTAAATGTTTAGTTTTACCTCTTCCTCATTTTAAGTTTGCATGGAATGAGAGTGTCATGAGGGAAAGACTAGCAGAAAAGCTCTCTTCTCTTTCTATCAAGTGCTGGGATGGCTGCAGAAAAGCAAACAGAATATGTGTACAGGGAACATTTCCCCTTTCTCATGTCAAGCTCTAAAGTAGTAGATGGGAAGTTGGACAAGAACTGCCTCTGCCTTCAAATAGTGCCATAGGATTGGCTGAGTCAGAAATAACTACATAGAAGAAAAAAAAGAAATAACTACATAGAATTCAGAAGAATCCAAACCATGACCTTGGGAATAAGGTCACAAAATCCTGAGAAAAGGAAATTAAATGATGTCTTAGACTGGGCCTAAGTCTCTGGCAAGAACATGCTGAAGTCATGGAATGAAGTGACTCCAACTATGTCATTAGAAGCAATATAAATAGAACCAAGCACAAGAGTGGGTCCCATTCCTTTATTTAGTTAGTGTATTATTTGATTATTCATTAATTCATATGTGCTTGACGTTCCAAAATCTAAGCTAACTATAGAGTTTCAGCTTTAACTGACATTGTCTCATTTTTTACCTTGGAAAATTCATTTAGCAAGATTCAATTTCTATATCCATTAAATGAGTGGATAAATCAAGAGAAATTCTAAATATCATTCTGGTGTTAATAATGTTAAACAGAATATCTGTGCAAATCTCAACCCAAAAAAACTTATTTTAATTGTTAACCATAAGTCATCTTGGGGAAAATTTTGAGGCTCTTCCCACTAAAGAGTTTAAATTGAGAAATAAATATGCCCTGCAGAGTGTAAGTGGAACATTTCTGAAAGGAGTAGAGTTTTCAGGAAGGGTTCTGATTAGGGGACTTACAAACACTGAAGTCCTAATTCACAAATTTCTCTTAACTGGTGCCTCATCTCATGGTAAAAACTAACTGTTGTTTTTTTTTTTAATGTTCTATTTGGCTAGGTGGCAGTGCTAAAATTGGAGTTTTCTGAGTGTTTGATGTCGGGTAGGTTGGAATGGCAGAGGAAAAGAAGAGTGTTAACACCATGGCACAGTGACCAGAGTGACTGGAGAATTTTCATCACATTCTCCTCTAAAGTTATGACTGTGTTCCATCTGAGTCACCTCGTGGAGGTACTAAAGTCTGCATTTCTCTTCACAGCCAGTACTACATGTTTAGTTATGATACATTCAGTTTCTCCCAACTTGAAGGCACTCACAAACAAATGTAGGAAATCTCTGAAGCTCGCATGCCCATGTTTCTCAATGGGAAATCTCTTTTTCTAAGCAAAGCTAACTGCAACTTTTCTAAGTATTCTAGGCCAACACTGTAGGTCAAAAGTATCAAAGTAAGTTGGAGAACTTATTAAAACAGAAACTCCTGGGTCCCCTCCCCAGAATTTCTGGTTCAGGAGAACAGTTCTCAGAATCTGCCTGATACATTTCCAGGGAATTATGATGATGTTGGTCTGTGAATCACAGAATGAGAACCCCCTTTCCAAACTCTTCTTGCTCATATACCTTTCCTCTTGTTGAAAAGCACATGTGAACAATCTTAATACCTGGAGTGGTTACAAAATGAAGCACTATGCACCCCAAGCTTAGGTCCTCTAAAAATTTTACTAAATGCCATTCTCATGAAGAAGTCAAATGTGGGGCTGAAGATTCTATTTCTCTAACAAAGTTCCAGAGGTGCCAATGCTTTTGTTCATTTGAACATACTTTGAAGTTTAAACTCTTTTGCTTAAACACTTCATTTCCGGTAGTTAAATCTGCAAAGAGAATTATTTTTCCTTTCCCTTCCCATCCTGAATCAAGTACTCTAATCTTTCTCATCCTTTACAAGCTACTGCATAACTACCCAATGTAACTTGTCCTTATTTCTACAAGTCAAATAGATCCTCTGTCTCACAAAAAAAAAAATCACTAAGTTTCTACAAGCATTTTGTCTGAATTTCATGTTTATTATCTCTCTCATTCTTGGTGGCAGTAGAATTATTTGGGTTCAATCTTATGTGCTCCATAGGACTTTCATTATTTTCACATATGCCAAACATTTTCAAAGCATTTTGGCTCCTTTTTAAAATTTTTCCTTGACATATATACTTGTTTATCAATATGTTATACTATAATATTCCTAGAACATCACACAAGAATTTTTGTACAGTGAGTATTCAATTATCTATGTACATCATTTTATTGAATTAGACATTCTCTTATTGGCCACACATTCATAATTATAAAGACATTGGGTCTTCCTTGTCCTTGATTTAGCATTCCTAAATTTGGCAGACAGATTAGCATTCCTCCTCCAAAAGATCTCTCTCAGGGTCTACAGCTTCCTTCAGGTCAAAGATTTATGGAAGAGCTTGAGGATACCCCTGCGGATCTCCCTGGTCTTCACACTGTAGATGATAGGGTTGAGCATGGGGGGTACAAACAGGTAGACATTGGACATCATGACATGTACAACAGATGGGGCACTTTTCCAAAATCGATGGATCATGGAAACAGCAATTATAGGTACATAAAAGGCCAGGACTGCACAGATGTGTGACATGCAGGTGTTGAGAGCCTTGAGTTGTTGCTCCTGGGATGCGATGCCCAGCACAGCTCTCAAAATCAATGCATAAGAAAGAAGGATGAAAATTGAGTCCACCCCATAGGTGAAAATGACCACGAAGAGTCCATAGATGTTGTTAACACGGATGTCTCCACATGCCACTTTCATGAGATCTGGATGCAGACAATAGGAGTGATGTAAAACAGTACCTTTGCAGAAAGGCAGTCTTTTCACAAGAAAAGGGAAAGGGAAGAGAGTAGTAAAACTCTTGGTGAGGATACCTAGTCCCATGGTCAATATGCGGCTGTTGGTGAGCACAGTGGCATAGTGTAATGGGTCACAGATAGCCACAAAACGATCAAAGCTCATAGCCAGCAGTATGCCTGATTCCATGAAAGAGAAGGTATGAATGAAGAACATCTGGACCAGGCAAGCATCGAATCCAACATGGCGGTAGTTGAAGCAGAAGGTAGCAAGTACAGTGGGAAGAGTCGAAAAGGACACTCCCAGATCATTGAGTGAAAGCATGGAGAGGAAGTAGTACATGGGTTGGTGCAGAGCAGGCTCTTGAATCACCAGAGCAAGGATACTGACGTTGCCTAAAATGGAGATCAGGTAAAGGATGCAGAAAACCAGGGCAACCCAGGCATGGCCTGTGTGCATCCCAGGAATGCCTGTCAGCTGGAGTGTGGCTGGCTGGAAAGGAGTGCCATTGAGGCCCTGCATGATAGGCAGGTGGGAGAACACAGATGGAGAATGAGGAGTTCTTCACTTTTTTCTTTCAGATAGCCTCTCTCCAACACAAAAGATCGGGGATTGAAAGTGTGTGTCCGTGTTCCTGCTTGTCACATTAGACTTGGAGTTATTTGAGGAAGGATCTGGGTTCCTTTCACTTCTCTACCACCAGGACCCAGAATATCTTCTAAGCCATAATAGACATTGCATGAAAGTTTGGTGATCCAATGAGTGCCTAAAACATGTCAAGACGACAAGGTGGGAAACAATGTGAATGAAGGCTTCTAATACTCACCTTAAAGTGCTCTATCCCATCACTTCCCAATCAACCCTAGAGCATGTGCTGTGGTAGTTTAGAGGAACATGTAAATTAGTATGAACCAGGAAGAAGAAACATCATGTATGTCTTTGGGAAATCTTCATTAGATGGCCCAGATAGACTTTCTACAGTCATAAAATTAATCATATCAATAACCTTGACTCAGAAATTACTTGAGCTTCCCAATTCCACAATCACCCCTAAACTTACCATTAGCCAAACCTGGTCTACATCTGAAATCTTAAATTTGTGCTGTTAACATTTTTAATTTCGTTGATTTTTGTTGGTGGTGGTTTATTGTAGTACTGGAAATTGAACCTAAGCCCTTTTTGGGCCACTTTCAATTTTTTTTTTTTTTTGAGTTAAGATCTCACTAAATTGCTAAGTAATCCAGGCTGGGCTTGAACTTGCAATCCTCCTCTGTCAGCCTACTAGAATTCTGGGATTACAGACATGTGCCACCAAGCCTGGCTCAGTTATCCACATTTTTATCATAGTCTTCTCCATCCTACCTTTACCTTCTCAAGTCTGTGCACTAGTTCTAGAGTCTTCATAATTTCTCTATTTCCTTCTGTTCTTTTTGTCTATTAACTCTTCCTTCTTTACTTTTTTGATGGCCCCACTTCACCACTAAGAATGATATATTCCTCTCCTCTTTTCATCTCTCTTTTTTCACTTAATAAACTTCAACTTTTATGAATTCTATAGCCTAACCAGATGTGCAGGTGGACAAAACTTAAGAAGCAAGTGTTTTATTGGAATAAAATGGAGAGAGCAAGCAAATTATCTCTTACTACAATATTAAACTTGTTCACACCCTTGTCCATTCTTATTCTCAGTTGTCTGAGAAAGAGATGTCCCTCAGTCTCTAAGGAAAGGTTCCTACCTTCAAGTTCCATATCTTGTCCCCTGCAACACAGCCCTCTTCCATTAGTACACTGTACAGTACCTGCAGCCTTCTCTTTCTGGCTCTTTTTCTTCAGTCAATCGGCATGCATAAGACGACTGCAACCTTCCCACTCCAGCTACCATTCTACAAGATTCTCCCAATTCTTAGTCAAATTTCTTGAAACATTGTGTGCAATATACCAAGGAGAAGGAGGTTGTAGTGTAACGGTTTATTTGTCTGCTTCTGCACCATCTTTTTGAAATCCTCAATCTCAAGAATCTTCTCCTATTGGGCTTAAATTTTATCATTGTTTATTTCATTATTTTTGCCCTCCCTCTCTCTCTCTCTCTCTCCCCCCCCTTCTCTCCAAACATATTTTTCTATGAGGACAAGTGACTTTTTGCCTTTAACTGTAAGGAAACATCTTCCTAATCTATTTGGTCTGGTCAGAGTTAACACTAACCTCTATTAAAACAACTTTTTAAAATGTCTTCTTCCTTGAAAGGTACTATATCTCCTTAATTTCCTTCCTGCACTGCTCTCTATCTCATCATTCTTTACTAGATGCTATTTTCTTTTTCCTTTAAGCAGGAGCAGCTTGACACAATGCAAAATAAATAATAGAATGGCAAAAATTGAGAAATTATACCATAAAAGACTTCCTTTTAGTCTATCCATAATGTCTCTGTAATTGTTTCCATGGTAACAAGGAGCTGAAAATTAAAGCTCCATTCTGCAATTTTGGCATGATGGTGGCTTTTCTAGAGTTTTCATCATTTGCCTATCAGTCTTGATAAACACAATGCAAGTTGGTGGTGACAAGAGGTTGTATGATGCCAAGATATCAGTCATAATCCTGAAAGTAAATGGGCCATGAGAAGAAATTTCTTTTTTTTGTTTCCTTTCTCCTCCAAATGAACAATGTAATCAATAGGATGTTTTGTCTCTTATCAATTATAGACTGTTTCCCTCCCACCACAGGTTTAAAGCCAATGTCTTTAGAAGTCTTTTTATATACAGCCTATGAATATTTGCTTTTTAAAGTCATTTTACTCTAAGACTACCTCTGAGTTCTGAAGAAATTATAAAACTCTTAGCAGCCCCCAAAAATACTAAGATACACTTAACCCACCGTCCACATTCCCTACTGGAAAAGGGAGGTAGTGCAGAGGTTAACATGTTGTATCTGCTTCAGATCTTCCCTTCTGGAAACCATTTTTGAATACTTCTCCCCCAGGAGAACACTGTCCCATTGCCACTTAAAATCCTTTTTCCTTTGCTTTGCCCATGTGTTTGTCAGTCAAAGCTTTCTAAGCATTTCTGATCGAGAAAGAAAGGCTAGGAAGATGGAGATATAGGATATGCCTGGGCATGGACATACACACTATCACTCAAAGGTACAATGCACATTTTTTTACACTTCCAGACCTGCTTACACTTCCAGGTATTCATAGATATTATCTCACATCCACACTGCACATAAACTCCCATGTACTCTCTTGGTCCCACAAAACACTATCACAACAAAGAATTTAAGATTTGTGACTACTCATAGATATTACTCATATTTATAACTTCCTAAACTATGTATAAGCACTCACCCATGCACAGAGATACACATACATACGCATGGTGTCACAAATTCATCAACATTAAGAAACGCACACTAATATCCCCATTAATGATATTCCCATGACATGCTCAATTCTGAAAACTCAGCTAAAATCATTGATCGTATTGTTGAATGATCTAGTTCATTTCATTCTGTGGTTTTTCCCCAGGTGATAAGCAAACATCCAGGTATAGGAGATAATTCAAATAGTGGGGTTTTAAAATAAGCAGTATGAAAAATTCTCAGAACAAAATCTAGATCTCTTTCCTCAGCCTCATAGCCTAATTGTAGGTAGATACCTTGATTTTAGGGTTTTATTTGATATGGGAACCTGCATCATTTCTCTACAATCTTGTTTGGAAGAAAATAGATTTGGCCCATGTTTGGAGAGCAAATATGAGGGATACAGTTTGTCTGGAGTTTCAATAATAATGTTAAAATTCGAGATTATATCTAGATAATAAGGCCATGCAGTAGGCAGCACAAAGGAGAAAGCACTCACCGGGTGGAGGAAGCTTATTTGCCATGTAACTTGATGTACTGTGGCATGGTCCAGCCGGCAGAGCGGCATCAGACCATTTGCCTATGACATAAATTTATAAATGTCCCCAAATCCCAATACTGGGGTGAGAGGAGGAGGAGGAATGGATGTAACTGAGAGGGTGCTGTCAGTGAGCTATAGGAGAATTACTCCCGAGAGAATTCCATTCTCAGCTTCATCATCTCTAATACCATCTATGTCCTTTAACTTGTTAACCCTTCCTTGATCAGGAATACAAACATGTTGCATACAGTGCACACAAACAAGAATGGTTATATACATCCTGAGACTTCCAAGATACAACCTTAGGAATATTCAGCTGTATATTTACTAATATGCACATTGCCTCTATCAAGTTTATACACAAACCAAAAACACAAATATGCTTTTCCAACTTCCTCATGCTCTAGTCACTAATCGTGACACATCAAACACACACTATAATCTGTGTATTCTTATAGTGGTCAAAATGGCTAATTTAGATTATAGACATAGTTTTAGAAATAGAGACTCACACAGTACTTGAGGAAATGACCAAGTATGTTTCAAATATATCCCCATTCTCATATAATCAATGTATGTATTACATACATATAAACATTATTATTAACAGATCAACAAAATGTTCAATAAGTTCACATTCCTACATTCACAATATTTCAAGGATTAATGTTTGAAATTTAAGTGCATCACACATTTTCTGTATAACTACCACCATCTTCATAGCATGTTTCTTATGCAAGTATTTTCTTTTACTCCATCACTGAAATTGAAGATCATAAAAATTACAAGTGGTTCATTTCAACCAAAACCAAAAAGAAAAACATATTGTTGTGCAATGTTTAGGTTTTATTCTCAACATTGATGGTTATATAGCTCAAAGAAGATGTAGCACCTACCCTTGCAAAGAAGATAAATATTTTTTTTAATGATTCAACAGGTCAACTTGTGGGTGACTATAATATTGATTATGCCCAAAGCAGGCTGTGAAGTTAACCCCACAATTGTCTTGATTATAAAAAACAAGTCTGGCTGAAGCCTATGTGCTGAGGTCAGAGTAACTTGCACCCAAACTGCATTCCCACAATTAAAACCTTCTTACTAGAAGGACAATGTTCTAATTAGAATCATATGTTTTGTCTATTCTATTCCTAATTTGAGAATGCTTTGTCTTGTCCTTTACAAGCCTTGTTTACATTAATTTCCATGGAAAGTGCAAGTAGCCCTGCCCTTGCATGTAGCTTGCCTTTACCCCAATTGATTGCCAATAACAGTCAGTGCCTGGGACTGGCCAGGGCCTTTGTCGGTTGCACCAGCATTGGTCCTCCTGGCACCCACTTTCTCTACTAGTTCTGTCTTTTAGTTTTATTTCTCAGGCCTACATTGTATACTGGGTAGGATACTGGAACCTAACTGCAGGGATCTCTGGTATCAACTCTGACTCCATATTTTATCAAGAAATATGGCACAAATGTATTTCACAAGAAACTAATGCACTTGTCAAATTTTACCTAATGTGTATGTAAGATTTATGGATGAATTTGAAACAAATCAAAGAGCCTTACAAAATATTTCACTCCAACAAATGACATAAATTCTAGCATACTAAAGGAAGGTATATTAATGTTGC